CAAGGTATTAGACGCCATTTTAGCGAACGTCGAGTTGACAATAGTCACTTCAATGGTCAATATCTCGAAAACTGCCGGGGGATCACCGGGATCATTCCAGCAGATTTAAAGATTATACTTTTGTCTTGACGACTACCAAAAATGAAAAAAATCGAACCATGGGAATTCTAGATATTTCATTTTAAACATTGTAAACATATTTAGACTCGAGTCAACACGTCGCGGGGAGTCGACTAACTTCAAACATCAAAATAACATTGAAAATAACGTTTACCTCAGAGATTTTTGCAGATATCACCAGATCTTTAGCAATAGTACTACTAAACTTGAAATTTTGCAAGAAAATTTTAATATTAATATTTTTTTTCGATTTATTTTCCGTCGAATGCAAATTTTTCTGTCCAAATTATGCAGATAGCACGATGGAAAATAGAGCGATCTCATTGGTCGAGAGCTCACGTGACAACTCGCTAATTGCTTGTCGTACCTCCTCTGCGTACCGCTGATATATGAGGGGGAGAGGAGGAAAGAGAAGAGAGACTTGTAACATCTGGCAGCAGACATACTTCCGGCTGGTCAATTTCGACCAGCCGGAAGTAGATGGCCGCATTGACTTATCATGTGTTTAGGGGGGAAGGCGACATCTGGACTTATTTGTTTAACATAAGTAATTTTGTATTCACGAGATTTCTTGTAGATTTCACATCACTTTTGACTGCGTGCATTTGGAATTTTGGGCATTATTTTTGCAATTTATTGTAAACAACGATTATAAGAAGAACGGATAAATTACAAATCAGCCGTATTAATCGTCATAAACCTCGATGACCACCAGGTTTTTGTGTTTGACAATTTGTAGTTCATTAGATATTTTATATATGCAAGGTCAGTATAAACGGGTTATCATATAAAACGATCATTCTAATGAATTGATAAAACGAATTATATCTAATAGGTAGGTAGGTAGGTAGGTAGGTAATACTTTATTTAAAATTAACAGAAAGAAGAACACGCTAGCCCCATCAACTCTAGGCTGGTTTCCATGGGGGGCGTGTTTAGATCTTAAAAATCATTAAAAGGAAAATTTAAACTAAATATTAGTACACATGCACATACTGTACACGTTACTATATACAAATAATTAGTAAGCATGTCGCTGTCCAACAATTGATTTAAACGAATGAGGCGACTCGGCCAATTTTGCTTCGTTTGGGAGTTGATTCCAGAGCATAGCGCCGCTATATTTAAAACTTTTTTTAAGAAATTCTCGTTTCGGTTTAGGAATTCTCGTTTCGGTTTAGGAACGGCCGCGTTTTTTACACGGCCACTACTGAAGCGTTTAGCTTGATTGTTGAATAAATCGATGACTTGCTTAGTTGCTTTCTGTTTTGAGCTTAACCACCGTTTAAGCTAAACGGGCTTGATACAACTGGCCACAGACTCGGCCCCAGATAAACATTTTTGTATTATCGAGATCGAAACTATAGTAAATTGGAAACCGTGTCAATAATACAAAACGTATACAATGAACTTATGAACATGCGGAAAATTTTAAAAATTTGTATAAATTTTGGGCGTGACAAATTTCCGCATGTTCATATAAAGTTCATTGTACGTTTTGTATTATTGACACGGTTTCCAATTTACTATAGTTTCAATCTCGATAATACAAAAATGTTTATCTGGGGCCGAGTCTGTGGCCAGTTGTATCAAGCCCGTTTAGCTTAAACGGTGGTTAAGCTCAAAACAGAAAGCAACTAAGCAAGTCATCGATTTATTCAACAATCAAGCTAAACGCTTCAGTAGTGGCCGTGTAAAAAACGCGGCCGTACATATTAGATATAATTCGTTTTATCAATTCATTAGAATGATCATTTTATATGATAACCCGTTTATACTGACCTTGCATATAAATATCTAATGAAATACAAATTGTCAAACACAAAAACCTGGTGGTCATCGAGGTTTATGACGATTACGGCTGATTTGTAATTTATCCGTTCTTCTTATAATCGTTGTTTACAATAAATTGCAAAAATAATGCCCAAAATTCCAAATGCACGCAGTCAAAAGTGATGTGAAATCTACAAGAAATCTCGTGAATACAAAATTACTTATGTTAAACAAATAAATCCAGATGTCGCCTTCCCCCTCCCCCCCCCCCTAAACACATGATAAGTCAATGCGGCCATCTACTTCCGGCTGGTCGAAATTGACCAGCCGGAAGTATGTCTGCTGCCAGATGTTACAAGTCTCTCTTCTCTTTCCTCCTCTCCCCCTCAGCGGTACGTCATGTAACGTACAATATAGTGGGTCTCCACAAAGAGAGACTTGGAGCAAGTCTAAATTCGACTGGGCTTTGTAATCATTTATTTAAACCAGAGTAGCGAGCGAAACATGATTGATCTACTTTGTTGCAGTGAACGAACAAGTTCTGAAACTTGTTTAATAAAATGTTTATGTACGGGGTTTCAAGTATAAGTCAATATGTGAGTATTGTTTTATAAATAAAGGCACATACTATACGAGCACAACAATGCCAATGGGCAATGGCGACATTTTTTGTCAGAAATACTACGCACGAAGTTAATGGTGATTTTCAGCTTTATTAAAGCAAAAAGAACATTGAAAAAGCAACAAATGCACAGCCCATTGTTTTCTGGTTCAAAATATATAAAAATGATGCTTTGAAAATCGCCCAAAGTGAAGTTATAGGGTACCAACTAGGCACATACTACGAGAACAACAATGGCGACATTTTTTAGTCAAAAATACTACGCACGAAGTTAATGGTGATTTTCAGCTTTATTAAAGCAAAAAGAACATTGAAAAAGCAACAAATGCACACCCCATTGTTTTCTGGTTCAAAATATATAAAAATGATGCTTTGAAAATCGCTCAAAGTGAAGTTATAGGGTTCCAACTAGGCACATACTACGAGAACAACAATGGCGACATTTTTTAGTCAAAAATACTACGCACGAAGTTAATGGTGATTTTCAGCTTTATTAAAGCAAAAAGAACATTGAAAAAGCAACAAATGCACACCCCATTGTTTTCTGGTTCAAAATATATAAAAATGATGCTTTGAAAATCGCTCAAAGTGAAGTTATAGGGTTCCAACTAGGCACATACTACGAGAACAACAATGGCGACATTTTTTAGTCAAAAATACTACGCACAAAGTTAATGGTGATTTTCAGCTTTATTAAAGCAAAAAAAACATTGAAAAAGCAATAAGTACACAGCCCATTGTTTTCTGGTTCAAAATATATAAAAATGATGCTTTGAAAATCGCCCAAAGTGAAGTTATGGGGTTCCAACTAGGCACACACTACGAGAACAACAATGGCGACATTTTTTAGTCAAAAATACTACGCACAAAGTTAATGGTGATTTTCAGCTTTATTAAAGCAAAAATAACATTGAAAAAGCAACAAATGCACACCCCATTGTTTTCTGGTTCAAAATATATAAAAATGATGCTTTGAAAATCGCCCAAAGTGAAGTTATAGGGTTCCAACTAGGCACATACTACGAGAACAACAATGGCGACATTTTTTGGTCAAAAACACTACGCACGAAGTTAATGGTGATTTTCAGCTTTATTGAAGCAAAAAGAAAATTGAAAATGCAATAAGTACACAGCCCATTGTTTTCTGGTTCAAAATATATAAAAATGACGCTTTCAAAATCGCTTAAAGTAAAGTTATAGGGTTCCTACTATGCGCACACTACAAGAACAACAATGCCAATGGCGACATTTTTTAGTCAAAAAATACTACGCACGAATTTAATGGTGATTTTAAGCTTCATTAAAGTAAAAAAAAAGTTGGAAAAAGCGATGAATGCAGAGCCCGTATTATTTTCCTTTAAACCATCTACATAAAATGTCTTGTAATTTGCTAAAATTATAGTTACATGTTACAAAGTGAGGGTATAGACGCAGCCATCAATTTTGTAGTCACTGTGAAAAAAGCTTGTTTATGCTGGACTCACACATCACACGTAATTGTAACTGCTATAATGCACCCTCCATTCATTTTAGATGATAATGACATGTTTCAAATGGCAATTTGTATGTAGCTTCATTCTCAAGTAATACGGTTCCCAGCAACTACCTAATTTTACGTGCGTCATTTTTGATCACATGCTTCGACAAAATGACTTCTATATAGAATTAAAATTAAAAATGAAAACGTACTTACCTTGACAATAACTGTGTCTTAAAGGTAAACTAATAATAGAATATTTAAATGACCCAATATTTAAAAGACCATGCATGGTTGCACGGCAACCCCATGCATTGACGTGCTTAAAGCCATATCACGGATGGTACATAGCATCATAGGCGCTTTCGCTTACGTTTTCAGTCCCTGTCTTCTGGATTGTCTATGGTGACAGCTTCACTTAACTGATTACTGTGCGCAAGTCTTCATTTGTTCTCCCAAATCATGTTCTTTGTTTTAACTTTTTAATATTGTTCTTCTTACTTTAATAAAATATGTAGATCACCTCTTCTGATTTCGGATTATAAATATTATATTTAGAAAATACTTTAATTATAAAATAAATGTTCATTATTGTCAACTTTTAACCCTGATTATTGTCCCAATCTGTTCCATTCTTAATTATTTTTCATCGTACTTTCTCGGTTTTACAGTCAATTGTATAAGATTCATAAATACCATTTCACTTTTTCTGCAGTGGTACCCACTCCAAATTGCGCTCCAAACCTGTAATAGAATTCACTCTTCGCCTGTTAACTGCCGGCTTGAAGAATACGATTCTGTTTTCGTTTCGAATACCATCACGAAGACGCAGTTGAAATTTATTACCCAATTCTTTCATAACGGGAATCGTAGGTTTCTGGTTGGTAGATCCACTATCTCTCATTCTTTTCAAACGATGTGCGTAAAACATAGCTCGAAGAAAATTGAAGAATGCACAAGAATTATCTAGATATTCAATGACACTTTGGCCGTCGTCGTCGGCAAATGAAGACCGCTTTGTATCTTCTAGAGCAATTTGTGTTAACTTCGATATTATTTGCGGCTGGTCAGAATCGGGAAAAAACAAGCCTCCTTCGGGCATTATATCCCGTGCCCACACTATTGTTTCGGTAATGATAGTTCCTTGATGATTGTCGTGGTTTAACACTTCGGAACAGAGCTTCAGCAAGTTTGGGAGAAATAAATAGTCCATCAGGTTTGATGTTAAAATGCGATCATACAATGTATCTGGCTCGAGATGTTGCTTGATGTCCATGCAATCGCACAGTACGATCTGGAAACTGATTTGTTGCTTGGACAACTTTTTCATGAAATTTCGTAGAATTCATTCAATATAATCACCGTACATCGTAACGAGGCAACTGGATCTCTTGAATTTCTTCACCTGCACATAGTCCCAGCCAGTAAAGGGAAAATGGAATGCTGGAATGCCATATGAATAAGGGGCGTATCGTTCATCCACATTTGCACCAGTCAATGTCGGATTCTCTGCGAACGTTGGCGGTTGTGTTCGTTTGAAAACGCCGTCGTCTATCCATTTCTTTAGTGCGTTTGCGTGTTGTACTGGTACATTGTTAAGGTACCCGGAGTGTCGTGCGCCGAGCGACTGTATATCTGCTTTGATTACTTTTTCTCGTTGTTTTTGAATCCACTTTGTTCCTTGCACCCGTAAACCGAACCACGTTTTCCACACGCCTTGAAGTTGCTTGAATTGCATTTCGTCGATGGTTATCAGGCCACCTGTTTCCGAATGAAGGTTTTGCGCAGACGTGAAGCGGATGAGTTCTTCAAGCGATGTACGAAGAGATTTGTAAGTTGCGTCGCTGAGTAGCATTGAATACCAAATTTCCGTTACTGTTTTCTCCATTGCTAAATCACCTTTGGTGAAAGATAAATAAACGAATTGGGATGCATCCTATGAGGTGAACAGTATTATTATCATAGATATCTTATATAGTACACGTACTAGATAGCGCATCTCTTTTAGTCAGGGGCCATTCACAAAGGATGTCCGGCCAAATGATGGATTTTCAGACCCCCTCCCCCCCTTGTCCGGCATTGTCCGAATTAGTGAACCCCCC